ATTATTTATATTTTAAAATAAAAAAATGTAGGCAACTCTTACCTCAAAAATTTAAAGTTCTAAACTCCTCCAAGGCTATAGGATTATAAAGAAAATGGGAGGAGGTAAAATTCAAATTAGAAATGTTAATTAGAATCTGCTCTCCCAACTTAGTAAGTGAAAGAAGAACCAGTCTATTATCCTAATACAGCCTCACCTCCTGTGACAGATTAGTAAAGGAGGGAGATGAAACTCATTTCATCTCCTAAATTAAATGTCTTCTAGGGTGGAGAAGTAGTGCAAGAGAACATCTAGCCATCTTCAATAAGCTGAAGATCTCAGGAACAAAATGGAAATGCATTTGTAAATGAGTGCACTACAGCAGTATAAATTCAGACTAGGTTCTTATTTTAATGAGATATATTTGTCCAAACAATAATTGTAATCCTCCAAAATCCTTTCTTAAATATTTTGTATCAGTTAATAAATATTAATTAATAGGTGGGTTCTTATTAATTAGTTCATTAATTCTCATTAATTAGTTAATTTGCTATCATTGAATAGTACTTACTAGAAAGTGTTGTCTTAGCAAAGCTCCTATTGCTGCAGCAGAGCTCGGTGAAGCCTGAGTTCTCAGAGGCGACAGGCTCCTTTGGTAGGAGAAGGCACCCTTTTCTCCTAGTCTATCGGGCTCACTGTTGACAGCAGAAATGAGAATCGCCCTTCGTCTTAATACATTCTGATTCCCAGCTCTCCCATGCTGAGTGCAGTCATACGGCACGCAGCTCTGGCCGACTGAAAAGATGGACCACGGAGATCCAAAGGCTACCTTCAACGTTCTGCCTTTTTATGATTGGCAAGAGAGAGAATTTAAATGGAATGTCAGTCAGATTTCATGCTTTTTCTCTGCAGCTATGAGCATCTGCTAACTAATCTCTGCCCTATCCCTATCACCCAGATTTTTATGAATCCCATAGTCCAAATTCAAATATTTTAATTTTCTCTCGTATGATTTGAGGATCCCTTTAATGCAAAAAGCTGTGGTATCAACTACCACTTTTAATTCATGAGTCACTTGAATGCTCTTTGCTCTATTTTAAATTTTTCTACAACACACTCTCATTCCTAAGAAATGCTGTTTTGTTTGTTAAGAAGACATGGATTTTCATTTAATTCTTGCATTTTATTCTATATAAACTCTAATATCGCAGCTTTTTCTTTGAATATAGAGAGCAATTTAGTACCGGCAAATGGATGAAATAAACCTGGTCAAATTTGCTGTCTACATTTAGCAAACAACAGGGATATTTGTTTAATAAATGTGTGTATTTAATGGAAACATTTTAATAAACATGTGTATAATAATGTATAATAATGTAAACATTTAGAATATACTTTCTATGCATTTATGTGAAATAAATTTGGTGAAATCCCTGACGTGAATTATTGCAGTCTCTTATCTGACTTTTTCTGTCAGGTGCAAGGAACCATCTTCCCAGCCCCCAACTTCAACCCTGTGATGGATGCCCAGATGCTGGCGGGAGCGCTCCAAGGATTTGGTAAAGCTGGGCATTTCTACCTTTCATTGTAGTATTGCTTTTGTTTTCTTGGTTTTTTTCTCAATGATTATAAAATAGCTGATGTCTTAAAAAAGAGAGATTCATATTAAACAAAAACCCTGGACAAAGAAGTAGAGTAGAAAGAAAAAGAGAAAAGAAAAACACAGAAGACATAAAAGAAATGCTCACAAAATATGCAAAGCCTCTCCTAAAAAATCAAGTTCTTCACTCTCAAGACAAGGTCGCCTTGAAGGGAACTGTGTGGTGTACACACACACACACACACACACACACACACACGCATGCATGTCTGTACTTCATTCACTAGCAGTGTCCCTTAGGAAAACAACAAAGAATTTCAACCTGTCCTCTGAAGTTGGCATTAAGTTTGCACAGCTTTCGTGGCTTTTAAAATATCAGTCATCACCACAAAAATACAGAGGCAAGATAACAAAACATTGTGGACTGATTATTTTCTTCAAAAGTATAAATTTTTGCTTTAAAACTATAGGTCACAGCAACCTGCGCACCATTTTTATCTTCACTCTGGTTTCGGCTTTCCTGTCATTGCCATTTTAGGCTCAGAATATGGGTTGATTTTGACCATTGTAATTTTTTATTTGTCAGTGGTCTAGGCTGAAGGACTTCAGAAGCTTTGATGGCAGAGTCCCTGGTCACAAGAACGAGGTGGTTCATGGGCTTTAACAGTCTATCAGAGCTGGCCAAATACTCAGCTGATTAAAGTGCCTGCAAGCAGGCACAGGGGCCAGGGGTTCCATCCCAGGGCTTGCCACGCTGGCCCTGCCCCCAGGGCACGACAGACTGGATGTGGTGGTGTACACTGTAATCCCAGTTCTTGGGAGGCTGTTAACCGGTGGATCACTACGAGTCCGATTTAGCAGTGAGACCCTGAACACCCTGTAGACCCTTCCCTAAAATACAAAAAGCAAAAAAAAAATAAAATAATAGTCTTTCACCTTGCTAACTTCAGCAAAGTGCGACTAAAAAACGTAATTGCCAGTGTTTTCCTTGGCTTCTCTTTTTCATTTAGAAAGATGAGACAGAAAAAAAAACTAAATTAAATAAAAATAAGTAGTTTAAATGAACATAGTCAAAAACTACATAAAAACACCATGGAAGTAGCTGAAAGATCCATATTTAATATGTTCATTTTAGAAAGAGTTAACAGACTCCTCTACAAGGGCTTAATATTTTTGAGTCTGTGACTAGGCTAGCAGGAGACACTACACCCTTCCATTCTTTCTCAGAACTCACTGTTTTCTCTCCAAAGCCAGTAATTTCAGCCTTTGGAGCTGACACTGTGGCTTTCTTTGTGCCTATACAGCTTCCAGCCCATTTCTCTCATGTCCACACTACCCCTGGATCTTCTCAAAGGTGTAGCCATCAGAATAAATCCCAGTTACCTGCCCTCGTACACTCAATGTTCCCGGACCAGGACATAGCTTTCCCGTGATCCCAGGACTCCCAGGGTAGATTTAATTTCCAAAATGATGATCCACTTAGTATTCTCAGCTTTCCATTTTATTTTTCTGTCTCCATTGAACATCTCCTTTTGTCAAAGAAGAATCATGCCGGTTGAGATTAAACTTCATTCAAAACATTGAAATAGGGATCAAGGGAGGAGAAAGACTGAGCTCGACTTCTCTGGAACAGAACGTGGGAGAGTCATCAAATACAAGTGAACATAGAGGAAAAGCAGTGGAGCCCATGAGGAGGGAGGTGGGCGGAGGTGACCAGATGGCCTGGATTGCTCAGCAGCACTGGCCAGAGCGTGGCTCCTGCTGTCACAGGCAGACACCGAGATGCTATTTTTCTTAATGACAACATTCCAATGGGGTGGCTTCTAGATATTGGAGAAACATTTCTGGGTTGTAAATCTGGCAGGAGGGTGAAAAAAAAAAATGTACGTGGCTCAAATAGAATTTTCCATGGCCAGTTTTCTCAAAATCATTACTTTCAGACGGAACAGGTCACAGGATGCAGTTAGGCAAGAATCCTATCCTTATTTCAGTCAAGCTGGGTGAAAAGCGAAGATCTTCTTAATTGCTCTCCTCCGACTCTCACTACAGTGAAATTTACCTAAACTGGCTGTGCATTATGATGACCTGCTAGGTCGGTGTGATGGCCTGATACGAGACGTGATAAGATGTGACATGAAGAGGTAGAAGATGCGTAACCAACAAGCAGAGCTTATGCTACAGGAGGAAAGGACTGTGCTTCATGCACAGCATGAATGGCTCACGCCAACACCTGGAAGCTTCTGACATTTTGCATTTTCACAATTTCCTTCTTCGTTGCTGTCCTTCCTCTGGAAATTCTAACAGAAGCTCCCCTGCTTTTGCACTGAGTGTTCGGTGTAAGCCACAGCTCTAACTGTACAGTGTGAAAGACAAGGTATCAGTTTGCCACTCACCAGCAGAAAAATCAATCAGTCCTTTTGGGGATGGTAGGACAGGCAGCTGAATAAAAGGTCTATCTCCTTACTTCCCTGTATTTATTATTAAATTCTCTAGAATGTTACCAGCTGGTGTGAGTTCTTACTTCAGTGATAACAGAAGTTAAAACCAGTGCAACAGCTTGCTTGCAGGACAAGGCTTTAACGGGAGAGTATGAGAATAGAGAGGACTTCAGCTTGAGAAGAAAACCTGAAGGGGGCTCTTAACACAGATGATTGGGCTGGCGTCCTAACAGCGAAGGGCGGAGGGCAGAGTTTATGGGGTTTGCTGATGTGCGCTAGGATCTGCTTGGTCATTTTCTCAGTGACTGGTTTGGAGCTCTGGAGAAGTCCTTACAGCTCAAGGAGTCATTAGAGTCCTTAGGAGATGATTGTTTATGTTTGACAGGCAGATCTAGTTTCACAAAGGCTCTTCTGGCATCCAAGGTGATTGCAGATTCAGAGAAATGACTAGAAACTTCTAGGTTCCTATTCCCAGGAATTAGAGCAGATAGGTGACTGTCCTTGCAAATCTTCTATCTTGATGTCCTCAGGCTCCATGGAATATGAGACAGGTTGTGTAAATTTAGGTTAAATAAACTTGTATTATCAGCTTTTAGACCAGTATTCCTTAAATGTTAATTATGCTTCTACACAGCTAAGTAAGGATCTCATTCAAAGATGGAAGTGACAGTAGAAACAGATCAGAAGGCAGGCAGAGGTGCCAGTGTGTTCAGCCAGCTTCGCTGCTGCTGGGAGCAAATACCTGATACTCATCGCTTAAAGGAGGAAGTGGTCCTGGGACTTAGAGGTGCAATTCCATGATCTGCAGCTCGAGGCAGACCATGGCACAAGGGTGTGGCAGGACAGAGCTGCTCAGTACTTGGTGGTCAGAAAGGGGGTGGGGCAGAGAGAGGGAAAGGGACCAGGTAGCCTTCCTCATGACAAAGCTCTGTCCTCCATGCAGACACACAGAAGCATGAGCCAGCAATCCTTTCCATTAAGTGTCCTTATCACGATAAGCTGTACCCTGTTTCTAGTTAGCAACTTTGTATCTGAAGGCTCAAAACAGTGTCTGTGTTTTAATTCCCTGTCTACTGTCCAAGCAAGCACGAATCATGCTTTTAATGAGTAACAAGTTGGGGGCCCAGCAGTCTGATCTTTCTCTCTGTGATGATCTCCAGCAGTTTTATTTTCTCATCTGGTTTATTCTTACACACGCTATGGCAAAGGCATCCTGGCTTTCATGATGCACCTGGTTTCTGAGGTCATGAGATTATCCAGGTGATGAGGTAGGGAAGAATACATTCTATACTTTTAATCAGTACCAGGCCCTGAGGTAAGGCCCAGCAGTACAGCGGCCCTTTGTCCTTCTGGTCGTTTCTGACTATCTCAGGAAGGGAGGCAATTTTCAGTAATGGTACAAAAATGAGACACAGGAAGAATCCAGGATTCATCAGACATTACTGTGTGATTTCCAATTGTAGTTGAAAGCGCTCTGTGCTCCTCTCAAGGCTAACACTTGCACATTGGTTTTGATCCTTAAGTAATGGGTTCTCCCTAACTACAGAGCAGTAATGTGACTAATCTTCAAACACTATTCTTTGCAGACTGTGACAAAGACGTGCTGATCGACATTCTAACGCAGCGCAGCAATGCACAGAGACAGATGATTGCAGAGGCATACCAGGGCACGTACGGCCGGGTGAGCACTTCACGTCCCGTCCTCTCTCAAGGACAAACTCCTGAGCACTCCAGCACCCATGGGGAGCTGGGACCATTGCATTTGTCAGTTTTTCAGGTCCCAAAGTCCTCAGAACTCACTGTATGTTAGAAATAGTCCATGGCCTCTTGCACATTTCAAAGAATAAAAAATATATATATTATGTGTGTATTCAAGGTATATAAATAATTACAGTGACCATCATCCCAGCCCAAAATCATATAGCATCTCATAAAGAAAAGTTTTGACAACTTTACACTGCTGGTTGGTCCAATTAGGCTAAAAGCGTTGGGCTGGAAACCCCCCCGTGGGCCACACTTTGGGGAAAGCAGAGCCGGGACTGCTGATCACCAGGTCAGAAGGTGGCACTGGTCCCTGGAATTTTCTCCAGGTCCTCGTCTAACTCTCCACCAAAGTGAATTCTCCACTTGCTTTTCTTCTCCCCAGCAGGCAGTTACAGAGACCATTAAAAAAGAATGGCAGTTTTAAAATAGCTTGGGCAATAAAACTATCCATAGTGTTTAAAAGTAATCACATTCTAATTCAAAAGCAAGTACCATTAAATATTCTTTGTTCTGCATTTAAACCACAAATTCAGAACAAAACTCTTCAGGCCAAAAGGACCTGAAATAGCAATTATTTTGTCAACCAAGCATTATTGTTGAAGCAGTATCATAAAACTTTTTTATGGAGTTTGTCCATATAAATTTACTCCATCTCAAAGCTTCAGCTTTTGAACAAATGTAATGCATGGAATAAAAGATATCCTTCTGTATTAGAATGAATTAATAATGAAAGAGCTACCATTAGTGATAACTTTAAGAGAATTATGCTCAATTACACCAGTTTGTCCACATCAAACTGTTGTCTTGGCATATGTTCCCATGACTTGAACATCAGTTTTCTTGAAAAAATGAATTAAAAACTGTAAAAGATGTAGCACTGGTGCTCTACCAAGGCTTTAATATTCATAACATTAAAGCTTTTTTTCTGTAAAGTTGTTAACTCAAAGGTTTACATACATATTTGCTATTATATATCTTGTTCATTTAGGCTAAAGCATTACTTTATCAAGCTCTATAAAACTAAGCTGAAGCAGATTTAAAATAATTAAGAAATGACGTCCTTGTACTCAAGGGATTTAAAATCCATTAAAGAACTTGCTCTGGAATGAAGCACTTTTTGCTCTACACCTAAGGTCTCAGAGTTTGCTAAACCCTCGCTTTTGCTGAATAATCCATGTTAAGTTTTTCAGCGCAGCAGAAAAGCAAAAGTAAATGAAAGGGAAGAGGCCTTTATTGCCATTGAGGAAGACATGGAGAGGATCTGAGGCAGGTGGGGGATCTTCTGACCTGAGACAGGAAGGCTGAGATTTCATGAACTTTTGTTGGGGGTGGAGTTCGAGGAACAGGTTCAGTGGCACATAGGGAGAGGATTGGAGGCCCCTTGTGTGGGTGGGAAAGGTAAAAAGAAGTTGTGTCCAGGGGTGTAGTGAGGAAGGCAGAGGAAGTGGTCATTGGGAAGATAAGCTGTTCTTTTGGGGATTCAGCCATGTTGGATCCAGGCCATGGTAATTTAGCAGTTTGTACTCAGGCTGGAACCTGTAAATCCGCATGCGATAGAGGAGCTTGCTCTTGAATCTTGTAGAAACGGAATGCTTGACCTGCAGGAACATTAGGACACTCACACCTGACATTCTCTTTTTGAGATGGAACAGCCTTAGACTCTGTTAATGGGAAACAGATTCCAGCAAGCTCCAGGGTGTGCCATTATGTACTGTTAGGAAGTTACAGCAAGATTCAAGAGCAAGCTTCCCTGCATTGCACCCGCCGCAGGTCATCAAGCCACACTTTCATTGGTTCTCAGAACTACTGTCATTATTCAGTCAGTTATCAACTGTTGAGAATCACCTTCCCTCGCACGTTCTCTGTTTTTCATCACTTAGCCAGTCTGGATGTGAATCTCCATGCTTTCACCCCCCGAGTAATTCTTGAACTCCTCACTGGCCAGGTGACCCCTTAGTCCCTGCCTGTTCCAGTTCACTGTCCAAACTGAAGCCAGAATGACTCAGAATAACACTGAACGTGTTACCTTGCCAAGTTAGTACCTAAAAGCTTACCCCATTCCTCTCTCACAGATGTCCGCAAGTTCTTGGAGCAAATGTACGCTCTTTCCCCACAGAAGTGAGGCCTTACTGCCCTCAACCAGGTGCTGCATCATTACCCCAGTTTTTCTTTCCCACATATCTTCAGCCACAGCCCTACAGAAGTATTTGTAGTTCCCCAAATTAACCTGCTTCCTCTCTACAGTCACACTGTCCCATCCATGCTCCATGGCCTGACTTCCCATTCCTCAGGCTGGATACCTACCATCCTGGACCACAGACACCACACTGGCTCCACCGTCCTCATCCCAGGGAGTCAGATGAAGGCCCTTAATGCACACTGGCTGTAACTTCCTGACAGTACTTACTGGCACACTCTGGAGCCTGCTGGAATCTGTTTCCTATTGCCAGTGTCTAAGGCTGTTCCATCTCAAAAAGAGAATGTCAAGCTTGAATGTCCTAAGATTTCTGTAGGTCAAGCGCCCAGCTTCTACAAGATTCAAAAGCAAGTTAATAGCTCTTTTTCCAAAACAATGGAAGTTGTATCAAGAAAACAAATTTGAAGTATCAAGAGGCAACACTGAGAGGCTGTTTCCCTTTCGAGAGTTTCCAGCCAGCAAACCATCTTCCAGAGAGCCTTGTGGATAAAACTGATGAGCAGGATTATGGGGCCCAGAGTAGCACCAATTCCTTACAGCCACCTCTATTCCCTCTGGTAGCTGTAAGCACTCACAGAAGCAATGAATAAACCCAAGTAAGTTCAACAGTAAAAGTTACAACAGCACAAATGGTCAATGAGCCCAAAAGCCTCCAAACCCAAAATCATCTGACCTCTGCCTCTCTACTTCAAAATTTGCTCAAACACACTCTGTGAACTCAGGTATGCTCCACCAGTGGGCACAGACAGAACATTGACTTGGGCATCTGCGTCCAATAAATGTATAAAAACTTGAATCCATTTGCCCTAGCCCCCACGTAATCCACCATAGTCAGACAAGTATACATGTCCTTTAGGGCACAGTGCAGATTAGGAACAGGAAGCCCTGGATCTTGATTGCACAGAGCTGTGGTTCGTTGCTGTGCTCCTGAAAGCAGAGTCCCAGATGAAAGGAAGAGAAAGACCAAGAGACATGTGGGAGAGAGCAGGTTTGCATTAATGCTGAGATATATGTATTTCCTACATCTTAACTGAATGAACGGCAGGGCTAGGGAGATAGCTCAGTAGAATAAGCATTTCCCTGGCAAGCACAAGGTCCTTAATTCAATCCCCAGTACCACAAAAAAAAAAAAAAAAAAAGAATGAACATCTCTTGTTTAGGGCCTACACAAAGTCCTATCTCAAGTGGCAAGCTCATTATTGCAATGCCAGGTGTCTTGGCTTGTTGGAATCTGGACTGTGATGAATTTTAGACAGTCACAGACAAGAGTAGTTGTTCCTTTTTCAGACTTGCCTTTTTTTTTAAAAAAAAAAAGGGGGGGATATAGGTTCTACAGGGTCTCACTACATAGATCGGACTCTTAGTGAGTCTCCTGTTTTCAGCCTCCCAAGTGCTGGGATTGCAGGTGGGTGCCACCACCTCTGGACTCAATTGCCATCTCACAGTGCCCTGGGAGTGGGGCTGGCACAGCACACCTGGGATCAGGCCCTGGCCGCTGCGCTCTGCCTAAGCAGGCGCTTTAGTCTGCTGAGCTATCAGGCCGTCCCTCTTACTTGGCTTTGATTTATACTCTGGCAATTTTTTAATGAGTTACTATTGAAGATGTACTTTATGGTATAATGAGACTTGGAAGACTAAATAAAAAGGCCCAACTTTTGTCCCCCAGGGCTTACAGCAGGAGAGAATTTAAACAGAGAAACACACAATTTACACTCTTCTTTGGTCAAGTTTTTGATCATTCTCAAGATGTTTCAGTTTAGTAATTCCTTTTTCAGCTCTTTATTAAGATGAAAGTGTATATTAATGCCAGAATTTTTACATTATAGAATTTTATTTCTTTTTTTGGCAATTCTATTATTTTTTCATACTATAATTTCTGATTGTTATTGTCTCAGATTTTTGTGTATTAATTCTGCTCTTTGCAGGGTTCATTACCACTCTGGGAATTTTTTCCAAGTGTATGTCATAATATTTTTATCATAAAACTTTTTAATTGAGGCTTTTTAACAATAATCTTTTCTTTTGTAAAGTCAGAGAATTTCTAAAGACTGGTTTTACATTTCCTTCTTCCTATTTTCCCAGGAAAGTTGCCAGCTCAGGATGACTTTCAGAATGATTTCTCTTCTTAAAGGTCTCAATTCATATAAGCAGAATAAATTTGAACTTCAAGCCCAAGGTTATGTGGATGTACTGTTTCAGATTATCAGAGAAAATAGTCTACTCAAAACCCAAGCATGAGAAGGGAGCTTTCTGCCCATCCTCCAGTGCTCACTGATATTTTTTCCTATTTCTCACTTTTATTGATGATGATGATGATGATGAGGATGGCAATATAACATCAATCATCATAATAAAAGGAATATCCTTCGAGGTCCTGACCTCTTCTGTGAGATTTTTGGTCTTAAATCGCTGTGTTATGCCTTCCCAATACATATTTTCCAACCCTCGTGTCATGCCCTACACTGGGCGTTAAAACCCTAGACAAATAGTTCCCAAACCCACACCCCCACCTTTCCCACTTACCTATAAGATCATTCCCCTCATTTGTTCATCTTCCGGGTTTCATTTGTCCCCTAGCTCTTTATATCCAAAGATTCCTTTCCTTTTTGAGATGATCTTCTAAATGAATCCTGTATTTTATCCTCATACTTGGAGAGGGAAACTTTTAGCTTTTGATTCAGTGTTCTTTTTTATTATTAATTTTATTGAGAAAAAATAGC